CCTCAGCCTCGATGTCGGCCCCTTCTTCTTCAACTGTCCCACCGTAACGCATGGTCTCGCTGAAATGCCAGATGCTTACATTCAAACCACAGCTGCGAGTCAAACCGCACCTCATGATCTCGCCCTTGAACGTCAGCAGCGAAGTGCCGAACCTCGTATTGTAAAGACAACTGATCGAGTCGGCGATGATACTCTCATTCGAGTCTTTCAGCAGCAGCGTAACTTCTGCAAGCGACACCCAAGACGGAGTCTGCAGATGAAGCGTAAGTAAGTAAGGCGCGGTTCGAAACAACGACGATACACTTACAAACCACGACTTTGGCTCGGTACCGCACAAGTCCTTGTCCGCGAAAAGTAGTGTGAATGCGTATCCGCCTCCAACGTCCTGTTTTGTAGCGCCGGGACAGTAAGGATAGCCTTCTACCTCAAGTTTCCACATGCCATTTCGAGGCAAGGGCAGCTTAGACTTCAGCACTATGTTTATACCCTTTGCGTGGCACGTGACAGAGTCCACTGAAAAGATGCGCACCACATCACCCGATGACAAAATGGATAAACTAAAGCACAGACTTACCGAAATCACCGGCCCCTCTCGATTTGCTAGCATTACAGTAAACCTAAATAGAAATGTTAATCGTACTACGTAAGGAAGGACTTCCGACCATACCGATAAGTGTAGAATGCAGATACCAAGAAAAATCGTCGTCACAACCATTTTGCTACCGCTCCTAAAATTTTATATAAAATTATTCACTCGAAGTTACCTATCAGGATGCCCCACAGGTAACAAAAAACATGCGGTTCCAAGACTAGCGACCAGACTGAGACTCGAGCTAAAAGGCCAAAGGCGACGTCAGACGCGAACAATCAAGGTCGCCATTTTGACGCTAATCCGACATTTCCGTACAACGTCAAGGAGGATATGCGTGCACTCGTGCGACGAAGAGAAAATGGGTCGCGTGCATGAAGCAAATAATTATTACGGCAACGCCAAATTAATGAAAGCTACCGTTCCAGCTATTCAGCATTGACCCAGTTTCGCGAACAAAAGTCGCTGGCCATTCGGTGACCGCAGCATGCATGCAATGACCGTCGCAATAAAACCATTATCGGCAGCGAGTTCAAGCTTGAAGACCGAAACAAGTATTTTTTGTTCCGTGAGCCTGTATAAGCTGAAAGGCAT